GGCCACCATTTTGGTTATATGCAGTTGTGCCAGTACAACATCTGAACAATCCAGTCAACTAATTATGCGACCTAAAAGAATGTAAGATTCCAGAGCCTACAAGGCTCAAATGTAACAAAAGCAGGATGTTTGATTATCCTGGAACAATGGGTGTGCATTATGAGGTATGACCAGAATGCTTGAGTGGGGGAATGACTGATGCATGACCCTGCCTCCCAGGGCAAGCAGCTCAAGCCTTATCACGAAGACTGGAACCATGAGTAGGGGACCCAGGGTATAGTTTCCATCTCAACACCAGGCATCAAGCAGATTAAAAAAATGCCTTGTCAGCAGACTCACCTTCCCCTGGAAACCCTAAATACATATGCACATTGTTTATCCTATCATGTCTATTTTTTTTGTCTTTGTTCCTATCATGCCTATTTGATGCTGTATTATTTTTCTAGCAATGAAAAGGCCAGGATCTTACTCTTTCAGCAGCATCCTGTGTTGTACCACTTGCTTCATGACTTCTGTTTACTGGTGTGGTATTGTCAATGCAACACACAGTCAAAAATTTTTGTATAATTTATTGTCAGTGTTGGTATATTTTGATTCTGCACTGAGGATACAATCAGCTAACATTTGAGATTACTTAAATCCATGAACGAAGAACCATGAATAAACCATGTATACGTGGATCCACATAGCTCAAAGCTGTGTTCCAAGGCCAACTGGGTACAAATCTATAAATGAGATCTTTGTTCAATGCAGTTACCTATTCCATATTCTGGTGGTGCCACCAAGGCACTTTGCTTTTGGAAGACACCTCTTCAATCTTCCTTGAGAGCAAGCACATATGACAATCAATTCCCATACTTGTTGGTGTTGAACATACAGATTCATGGAGGCCAGTCTGTCTTCCTTCCAAATCTCTAAATTCAACTGTTCATCCCACAGGCATTTCCTAAGGGCTGCCATCCTCCAGGCAAGGACTGTGTTAGGTGCTGGAGGGAGAGCCGAAAGAGCCAGCCCAGTCTTAACTCTCATGGGGACAGAGTCTGGCACGCCACTCTCTGATGGTGCCAATTATATCGCCAAATCTCAAGTTCATTTGAGAAAAGGTGAAGACATATCTCAACAAAACATACTTAAAATAGATGGGATCTTTGACAGGCACTTCCAGAATGTTCTAGGCAAAGAATGGCAGGCTCATGGAGTGGTGCGACTTCACAAGTCCAGCACTGTGAAGGGCACAGCACGTGTTGGATGCCTCGGTTCTCACACATGATTAAGCAATCACTTTACTTCCTGTTCATTGTCACTGCAGCCTCTTCTCCTGCTTTAGTTATTTTGTTCAATGCCTAGAAGAGTGTCCAGCTGAGCTAACCCTAAGACTGACCATCTGTGAGGTAGAGTGGCACAAACTAAGACTTAGAAGATGTGAACCCCAGTCATCTTATCCATCTCTTAGTGGTCTGGTATTAAACCACTCTGGAATAGCAAGGAAGGCAGCAGAAAGAGAATGAATATGCATCCTACAGGCAGGTGGAGGCAGTAGGTGTGTCTGTTTTTCCACATTAATTGAGTGTTGTTGGTAATAAATTCCTGTCACTGTCAGGAAACCAGGGTCATTTTGTTTGTGTGTCTTTGCAAAGGCTCTGGAGGCCAGGGCTGGCCTGAGGCTGCTGAAGTTACCAGCTGCCCCTGGTCCTATCCTACCAGAAGCCAAAACTAGAAGGTGAAATGTCACTCACTGGTGCACATGTTACTTTGCTGTGCAAATCAACTGACACATTGCTCTGCTTCTGTTTAATGATTAAAGCAAATAAGAAGGTCATATAAACCTGGGGGCTTAGTTCAGTAAGTTAATCCACCCTAGTTGCTGGTGTCAGTGCCTAACCTCTTAAAACATAGCGTAGCATTTTCTCACCAAGGAAATGAATGGCTTTTATTAATATGAACTTAATGCTCCTCTAAAAGTGATGAGGATAATAAGATACGTCAAGAATATTTGAAATTACAGGAGTAATTGCAACAAAAGAAATATCTCATCTGATAGCGTGCTAGACCCAATGATTGTAATTTCTCGTGAATTCTGCAAACCAGCTGACATGTTGAAACGTTGGTAGCTTAAAATCTATAAAAGCAAAACCCCCCATAATGTTAATCCCCATCATTCTAACAACATCTCAGCTAGCATTTTGGCATATTTTAAGAATTATATATTGGTGGCTATACTGCAACGCACTCAACATTACCCTCAGCGTAACCAACATTTAAAACTGCATGATCGGATGGGTATTTACACTATGAAAACTGGCTAATGGTACAATGAGGAGTCTCCTTTCTAGCAGCCACTTACCAGTTCAATACTGACTGCATTTTTCATCCCAAACTAAACCAAACATAAAAGAAAAATTCAAAATCAAGCCCTTTGAGTATCAAGCCAGATTACCACACATTTCTACCCCCTCCCCCTCAAAACATTGGTAAATATATTACATTGATCAGTTTATCTCTCTAATGCATTAATGAATTAAAAATATAATCAGATTTATTAAGTTTTTCCCATAAAAGGCCTCTAGATTTTGGAAATATCATAGAAAAAAAAAGTGAAAAAGAGAAAAAGTAGACATTTAAAATGGTGCTTGTAGCTTGAGTTTTGTAAAAATAAACTATCAAAGCAATTGCAATTTTTAGAATTTTTGTGGAAACCAATTTGGCAGCAAATCAGAGGTTATCAAAATCTTTATACCCATTGACACAATAATTTCACAATAATGTCAACCTGCTAAAAATTAAATACAAAAAAAGAATAATCATGATGGTCAGTATAATAGTTAAAAGTTACAGGTACTTAAAACTTTGTAAACGATGAGAAAGATTAGGTAGGCTACATTCTAGTCACTGAGTTGGCATTAAAGGCACAGCAGTTAGCTATGATATCAGAATGGTGAGGATTACCATGAATTTTAAAAATTCCTTTCAAATCTCCAAATCTTCCTGTAGCATTCTTATATTAGTTTAATGACAAGAATTTTTTTTTTTAATGTTGGAATTAGGGACAAAAAAAGTGTATGAATCCTAGCAAGCTTTGTTGGCTAATTTTTAAACTTCTAAGATAAAGCGCCTTCGAGCATTTTCTTTCTAATTCTTTAATATGCAGGTGCCCCTGGGCTGGGCACTGGGCTGGATTCACCTGCTCTCCTGAAAATGCCTATTCCAGTGACACGGTGGGTGCACCACCCAGGGAGAAAACAAGGGAAAGGCTAACAAGCCCCTGGTCAACACGTGGCTGCCTTGTTATAACTCACAGCCTGAATTCCTGAGCCGAACACTTGCCTGAGGAGTGATTCCGCACCAGAAGTTAGAGTACAGGCCCCGAGACTCCAGCATGGGGGCCACGATGGTCTTGTTCTCTGCCATCATTAGACTGAGTGTCTGTGGATTAGTCAGGAAATTGTCAACATCTATGAACTAGGGAGAAAAAGGGATCATGTCAGGTGAAGCAGGACTTGTCCATAATGCATTCAAAAGTAACCCCACAATTCAATTGCAGCACAGAAATGAGGTTCCTCACAAGTTGATGGGAACCAAGTTCTTCATCTGTGATTCTTAAAATCCATTTAATTCTTTGGCACAGAGAAAATCTAGCAGAGCACTAGAAATCACTGTAATAATGCAAAGCTTGCATTGTTTCATTAAGCTGATTGGTATCTGCTGTTACCAGACTCTTGCCCTAAGTCCATCTCCAGTCCTGCACTCACAACAGAAACCTGCTCAAAATAGAGGGGGAAAAATGCACAAATCTCAGCAAGCTTTATTGGTTAATTTAAAACTTCTAAGATCAAGCTCATGAGGATATTTTCATCCTAATTTTTTAATTCTTAAGGGTACTCAGAGTTGGGGCCCTCATGACATAGAAATGTCACTTATGCTCTTTTTATGGAGTTCAGTTGCAGGAGGGTGGCTATTTTAGGGGAATGTAGGAGGTTGGACATCAAAATGTTCTGCTTGGCAAGGGCACCGAGCAATGAGTTGCTATTACCAGACTGGGCTCACACTCAACGAGGACCCAACTGATATATTGGCTAGTGGTTTAAGTCAAGATATTAATGGCTCCTAATCCTTAAAGAGCCATTCAAAAACATTTATTGACAATCTGCTATAGTTTCAAATGGATAAACCTATGGCAGGTCATCCATAATGATGCCAAAATAGCTCCAAACAGACCATTAATGCTACTTTAATATTAGAAATAGAAATTTTATTTAAAGTACATTCTATCAACTCATGTTTACCTATGAAGCTATTTCTCCTTCTTAGAAATCCATGATCAGGGTTTCTCTGGTGTCTCAAGGTGAAGCTATCCTCAGCTACTGCAGTACCAGTTCAATCCCCGGTCAGGGAGCTGACCAACATTGCACAGCAGACCTCTCCTGTCTCTCCCACTGCTCCCCTCAGCAGTGTATTTCAGTCAATCCACCTGTTCTGCTCCCCACTCTTTCTCTGACGAATCCTCTCACCCCCCACACCTCTAGCATACACCCTAGTTTTTATATGCATAAATAAATAAAACAAATCTTAAGAAAAAGAAATCCATAATAACATTAATACATTACAGGAACAGTAACAACAATATTCCTAGCTTATAAAATAAGCACATTAAACTCTACTTTTTAAAACTTATACTTCAAAATGACTAAAATATAGATTTCATGCTCTGTATGTTTTACCACACCTACAAAACAAATCAGAAGCTTTCATTTTCATGACAGGCAATCTTTTTACCAAAACTTCTGTGATTCAGCATTTGTACATTTCAATGATATTTACAAAGCTGTACGATATTAAATACTGAAAGTTTAGTATTTGTATTGAAAGTGAGTGATAAATGACTGAGCTTTCTTTTGTGGTTGCGGGACTACAGATGGACATAGGTCAAGAGTCTGGTAGCAGCGGAAGCCCATCTGATGACTGTAACTATACAACTTTGCATTATTGGGATTGCTTCTAATGTTGTGCTGGATTTGCCATGTGCCAAAAGAAGTAAATGGATTTTGAGGGATCACAAAGGAAGAACTTGGTTCCCATCAACCTGTGGAGAAAAAAGCCTTGGTCAGTTTTCAAAAGGGAGGTGGATACTGTAGTTACAGTTGCTTAGAAGTGCCTTCCTCCTCCTCCTCCCTCCCCCCACCCTCCCCCCACCTTTTCCCTCCACATTGGATGAGGATGGCTATAACACTGATTCCTAGCATCAAGTCCTGAATTTCGGGGGGGCCATGCTCAAAGTTCTAAGGAAAATGAGAGCCTATTCATGGAGAGAAATTCTCATTAAAAACCCAGTAAACGGGCCCTCCCTGGTGGCGCAGCGGGTTAAAGCACTGCACTACGAAGCTAAAGCCACTTCCGCATGAGTTCGATTCCCGCCTGCCCCGGAGGTGACCACATGGCGTGGCAGACCTCTCCTGACCCGCCCGCTGCTCCCCTCAGCAGTGTACTTCGTCGATCTGCCTGTTCTGTTCCCCACTCTGTCTCTGGTGAAGTCTCTCACCGCCCCTGAGCCTCTGGCCTGTACCCCAGTTCTGTATGTACAAATAAATAAATCTTTAAAAAAAAAAAAAAAAGCTACCCAACTTTTAAAAAAACAAACAAACAAAAAAAAACCCAGTAAACAGAAGCAACCAAAAAGCCAAGCAAGAGATGCCATTTCCCAAATCACTCAGGAGCAGTGAGGAATTGAGTCGTGGAAATGTTCATTTCAATATTTTTCTATAATTTCTCATATCTGCAAAATTTTTTTTCCAAAAAGCTATGGCAATTTATATTGCTCTATCTACAGCATTCGTGAAGAACAAAAAATTGCTTCTTTTGCATTTTATATGAAGAAAGATTGCATAATTCAAGAGGTTAGTCACTTATTCACTGAAAATGCATGACAGGGTAGGGCTGTCTGAGATGAGTTCCAGGTTTTCCAGCATCAGTTCCCCAATTATCCTCTGTGTCTTTATTTAAAGTGGAGGAGACAGTGCCTAAGCAAAGGGTCATTTTGATTATTACTGCAGTTTGAGGTTTTGGACAATGAATTTGGACACCTTCTAAAGAGCAGCTGTTAAGGAATTAAACGTCTGTTTTACCAGAATGTAGTCTGACCACTTTTCCCTCGCAGTTCGAAGGGCTGCCTGTCGTAGCTTCATCACATGGGCAAAGCGGGAACTTGGCCAGTGCTTTGGTCCAATTTCATCAGGATAAGACCTAAAACAACACCGATAATCATGGCTTATCATGATCTAAATATCTCTGTATTCCAGGCTCTGTCCTAAATGTTAGTATGAACTAATTCATTTCATTTCATCTTCTACCAAACCTTGCAAGTCGGTCCTATTGTCATCATCCCCAAATTACAGATAAGAAGACTGGAGTGAGGAGAGATTATGGAACTTGCTGCTAACCATACACAAGACACTTTATATGAACTATTTCAGTGCATTCTAACAAGAATCTACTGAGTCCCTACCAGGTGAGTGCTACCATTCTCCCAATTTGTAGAGAAGGAAATTCGTGTAGAGCAGTTAAGTCATTTGTCTTATGTTACACAATTAATAAGGGACAAAGTCAAGGCTAGAATCGGGGCATCACCCCAAAGCTCATGTTCCTACATATTTTTAGAAATACATTCTTCCATCAAATTATGTATTTGGAAATTTTGCAGCATAAAAATAGCACTTTTCAGGAAAAATAAAAGGTCAATTTCCTTGGTTTTGTCTCAGTATGTGATTCCACTGAGCCTAACACATTGATTTATCCCAAGTAAAGTGAGGTTAGTGAGAAGCTGCATAATTCCTTGGGCTCTCTGTCAACATCACCAAACAGCAAGGACAGGAGTTTGACATGATCAGAGTCAAGTGACTTGGCACCCTGAGAACCTTCCTGAAGCCTCCTAGTTGGTGTGGGCATCAATACCTAGCCACCATTTTCAGTTCTTGTAACTTTTTGGTCAGTGAATTTGTATTCGCTTCAGTGAATGAAAACAACACAAAAACAGTAAGACCTTAACCATACAGGTAAGATTAATAAAACCATGTGCTGTACAGAAATTCTCTAGAATGTCTTCCTCAATTATTACTGCAATGAAAATCAGTGAAGATCTTGTTTTTCCTGAATACATTGCCCAAAAAATGCCTTCCTTAATAGTTCTCACACTGACCTTGGCCTAGAATCTAATAGTCACAATCTGGCTACAGAGAAAGCTGCCAGGATGCCAGGTAGGGACGCAAAGTCCTTCGAGGCCATTTTGAATTAGGTCAAAACCTAGTATACACAGTGATAAACATCTTTTATAGTGTTCAGATTTCATTGCCATATATTTATATGGACCATATGCTGGGATTTATAATAAACGTATTATAAAGAAGGAAAAAATATTGCTCTGCAGTGACATTTATTATTATTATTATTGTATAAAATTGGTTTTCAATAAATGACTTACCCTGGGCAAAAATTCAAGCAACTCAATTCATTCCACCTCTACAATTCCTGAAGCTGTCATGCAGTAACCTTGGGAGCATTTACAATAATAAGTTTTTAACACATTTATTCATGCTGTCATTTGTTCACCCAATGAGTATGAATTTAGTGTCTGCCAAGTACCTTAGCACTGGAGGGAAATATAAAATATTTGTTAACTCTAGGTCCTATGAAAGAACCCAAAAGTTATTTAGACAAAGTGCACAAATCACAGTTAATTAACAAAGTTAAGTGTATTGTTGTGTCTGCTTACTATAGAAAATAAGTACCACAAATATTACAAGAAAGCTAATCTTTCTGCTTTCACTGGACTAGGAGCAGCTTGCTATAATAGGTGGAAGTTGGGATGTGAGTTGCTAGCAAAGAAGCAAAGGAGAGTAAACCTGCATAGCCAAGAGGCTGGGGTGGGGTTACAAGTAAAAGAAAATTCTGGAAAAATCAGTTTGGGGGATAAGCCTGAGCAATGGGTACATAGTATTGGTGCTGAGTGTAGGCAATCTTTTAAAAACTATGTCTGAGGTGTAGGAACTTTGTTCTGTAGGTACTTGAGGGTCACTGGAATTCTTTTAACAGGGAAATTAAACCACATCGTTAGTATTTGAGGAAGACTGACTTGATTGTGGTCTGGAAGGTGACTTTATGAAAGCAACTTAGAAACTTGCTGTGGTCAAGAATGGAAACAATCTAAATATCTGTCAATAGGGGATTGATTAAATAATATGGTGCATCCATACAATGGATATTATGGGGTCAGACAAAAATCAGAAACCTCCTTAACTATTGCTGTGGAATGATCACCAAGGCATACCAAGTGAAAATCAAAGTGTATGTTGAAAATAAATAGACAGAGGACCTCCCTGGTGGCTTAGGGGTTAAGTCTCAGCACTATCACCTCTGTAGCCTGAGTTTGACCTTGGCCATGAAACTGACCCACATGGTGCAGCAGACCTCTCCCACTTCTCCCCTCAGTAGTAAACTTCCATAGATCTTCCAGTTCTGCTCCCTGCTCTGTCTCTGGTGAACCTCCTCACTCCCGCACCTCTGGCCCCTACACCACAATTCCTGTATTCATAAATAAATAAAAGTAAATCTATAAAAAATAAGTAGATAGACATTTCACTTCATCTCTCACGTCAATGTTTATACTCAAAAATATGGACAGATAATATCAATATTTTACAGCAGACACTGCTGTGCTGATTTACTAATGGCCATGAATGTGACTGGTAGCTGCAGGAGTAAGAAGAGAGAAATAATGAGGCGCCGTCAAAGGAGGAGAGGTGACTAAATGGGTTCAGAGAACAACTAGTTGGAGTCAAGTGGCCTTCACACTGGAAGCCTACAAGGCTGTAAAATGGTTGAGGGAGGAAAGAAAGTTCAAAAAATGTTCACGCTCTACTCACTCAGGTTCCTCCATCGGTCTCCACTCCACGTAGTGATAGGCTTTTTGTACGTTTTTCAACCACTCCCTGAGTATCTCTGTCGTGTTATCCACATTGTGATCTGTGGCGGCCCTGCATGAGAGAGAGCAGCCATATCATTCAGAAGACGAGGAAATCCACAGACCCTACTCGAAGGTTTGGTATACAGGAAAGTGATTCCCTCATGGACTGAACTTTCTGAAGCACGAGACACTGCTTGAAATCATCTTTATGTCGTCAAATCCTTAAACAGGGACAGCCAATCAGCCAATATTACAATCAGTAAGTGGTTGTATGTATACAATAAATTAACCCAGAATAAGCTAATAAACCTCCCTGGGATTGTTTTTTATTTGGTTTAATATTTAGTTATCCAAGAATAAAGTTTGCATTTTAGCTTGACTAATAATTACCATCAATTTAAGTAATAATTCAGTTGCATTTTTCATTTCAAATCAATTTTCAAGTCTTAATAATGTTTCTAGTCATGGTTACTTTTGGTCACAGGCACTAAAGGGAAAAATCAACATAACAGCGCCAATGTAAAATTCAGATCTCAAGTACCTGTTATCTATTTTGTATTAATTTACCATCAAAACCTTCAGATAATGAATATGAAAATTTGTTTCTTTCTACTTTGCGATTTCAACAAATATCCATTTGTAAAGGAGCTTCACGTATTCATTAACACAAAAATATTTTCAAATTATATCACAAAGCAAACTCAGGTTATACGTAAGACACACATCTAAAATAAAGTTATACAAGACGGTTACAAATGAAGCTATACCAGTCAATTGGAAAAGCGAGAAGCAAACAGGGAAAGCATAAATACAGAGTGGGTACAGAACACAATAATAAAGACCACACTTCCTTCTCAAGTGCTCCCAGAACATTCAGGAAATATGACCAATGATTATATATGAAACATCAACAGCATTCTCTGACCACAATGCAATAAAATTAGAGATCAATAATAAAATTTAAATCCCGTAATACTCCATTATAAAAAGTATGAAGTGACATAAGAAATACAGATCAATTTTAGAACTTCTCAATATAAGTACCAAAAACACTACATACCAGAATTTCAGGATACAATTAAAGCAGAGGTCAGGGAAAATTTAGTTTTAGATCCTTAGACTAATAAAAATAAGTGAGTTAAATTCCTACTCAAAAAGCTAAGGAAAAAGCAATAAAACAGACCTAAAGAAAGAAAAATAGAGATCAAAATAGAAAGCCATAGAGTATAATTTAGAAAATGAGTACAATAGGTAACCAATACTGCATTTTTGAGAAAAAGCAACAAAAGACCAATCACCAGTTGAGCCTAATCAAGGTATTACATATGCATCTATATCTAATATAAATGTAACATATATTAAAAATATGACAAAAATATGAAGGAATATGATGGATATGGAAGAAAAATTATAATATATCATAAGCAATTACTTTGCCCAACTCATAAGAATAAATTTAAAAAGAAGAAAAAAATAGAAGTTTTCCTAGGAAGATTCATGTTAGCAAAACTGATGTTTAGTACCGATCTAAAGATAAAAAGAATATTTTTCATGAAAGAAATAAAAAAGAAAACATCAAATTCAGAGATGGTTTCACAGGAACAATTCTATCAAATCTTAATAGGCTGGATATTGTCAACATTGTTCTTTATTTTTCAGAACCCAGGGTGGGGAAGGAGAGGTCAAGAAATGGTGGAAAATTCCAATTTTTTAATATAGCAATAGGATAATGATAGCGATATCTGAAGAAAATACATACACACACACACATAACTATAATCAATATCTTGTTAAGAATTTGCTGCAAAACTCTTAAAGAAAGTATTACTAAGCAGAATCTAACATCCTGTTAAGAAAACCTTACACAGCATGGTCTATAGGATTGTTCAATACAAAGGAAATCCATTAATATAATTCAGTATATTGACAGAACTGAAGAAAAATAATATCAATGTCTCTGTAAATGCTAAAAAGGTCTTGAACAAAATCCAGCACCTAATCCTGATCTTTTAAATACCACAGTGATCAAAATTAAAACAAGAAGAAAGGAAGGAAGAAGGGCAGGACAAATAGTAAGTCATGGGAAAATAGAGGCGTCCGACTCTTACATGGAAGTCAAAGTACTTAGGTCTTATCGGCAATCCCGCAGTGCCTTCTGGGAGGGGTAGCTGTCAGTCTTTGCAGAGAGGCCTCTAGCACCATAATCCTGACAGGAGCAAGTGAAGAGATGCACTACTTCCCCCACAGATGGCCATTTCAGCAAACAGGATTTCACTAAATCCAATCCACAATGATTTTTGTTCTTACTTGAATGTTAAGAAGTGCCTGCTTCTCCAAAAGCAGGAAACCCTAAAAGAGAGACTGCTCAGAAATGTTCGAGGGGAAAAATGTGTTAAACAAAGCATAGAGGAACCTCAGGTGACACAGGGAACCAGAGGGGCAGAGGGTGAGAGGATCCACCAGAGACAGAGTAGGGAGCAGAACAGGAGGAGTCACTGATGTGGGGAGCAGCAGGAGAGACAGGAACGGTCTGCTGTGTTTGTGCAATGTGGGTCAGCTCCCTGGCTGGGGATTGAACTCAGGCTGCAGCAGTGATAGCACTGAGACTTAACCCCTAGGCCCACAGGGAACAAATTTCTGCAAAACACCAAGGATCTTGAAACTATTTGACTTAAGTCATAGGTATAGAACAGTGGGCACAAAGATGTATGGCTAATATTTGTATACCTTATTGTATTAAATGGATATCTGAAATAATTATTAAAATCATTTTTCAAAAGACTAGAGAGTAAGGAGATGACACCAATATTCCATTGATCGGCTTTCAAATTTCTTCTGGAAGTTGGATCAAAACCAGCTTCTCTTCTCAGCAGGTCTAGACAGGAAGAGTCACAGGTCTACATTCCAGAACATTCTACTACCTGGAGGCAGGGATTGGTACCGCGTGCCATGGATTGCATGGAGGGACACCAGATAAGCCCCCTAGGACAGAGATGAGGAAGTCCGAGAAGGTGGGACTATGGGCTCCATTTTTGATCAGGCAGACAACAGTCTACCAGTGAGAATCCTACTCAATCTCACACATGGGCAGTGACCCCCACTGACATCCAGTGTGACAGCCACAGGAGAGGAGTATGTGAGAGTCAGACTCCTCGCTGGATGGCACATTTGTAGAACAGTTCCTGACACGGGCATTAGCTCTAAAGCACACTAGTCTTCACTCCAAATGTCATAAGAGTAAACTTAAACCAAATGCAGTAGCCAAAAGTTATGAGAATTCTTTATTGTTCCCAAGATATAAATAGCAGAGGAGAATTCATGCAGCATCTGTCTGCTTCCTTCCTTGGCTGCTGTTTCTTCCTTACAGAGCAGTTCGATTCCCTTTGCCCTCTACACATGTTGTTGCAGTTATTAATCATGGTAACAAAGTTGCCTGTCATGAAATTCATTTTCTTGGTGAACAGAATGAACAACTCCAAAGGCTGCCTAAATAGTCACTTAACAAGCATCCTGGGCATGAGTTGCTGGAATATGCAGAAGTGTCTAATTAAAAAGAGGAGCAGGGGCACCTTACTGGTAGTACAAGTGGTTAAATTTCAGCGCTATGAAGCTATCACCAGCCACTGCAGCATGAGTTTGAGCCCCATTCAGAAAGCTGACCCACACGGCACAGCAGACCTCTCCTGTCTCACCCGCTGCTCTCCTCAGCAGTGTATTTCAGTGGATCTGCCTGTTCTGCTCCCCACTCTGTCTCTGGTGAAGCCTCTCACCCATCCCACATCTCTGGCCTACATCCCAGCTCTTGTATGCATAAAAAAATAAAAAAATCTTAAAAGAAAAACAGATTGAAAATACTCTCCTGCTTGCTTTATGAACACTTCCTTTACAGTTCCCTGAATTGTGACTTGTCTTTGTTCTCAGGTTTCCAAGGAAAGGCACAAGTCTCCAGCTGTAGTCAGAGGTACTTCCCCACTGGCCTTTGATGTGCAAGGCCAATGTCCTGCACTGTCCCAGGGGACAGGCCACAGAGGAAGACTTGCATTCCCCCACAAGACTAAATGTCCTGCCCCTCAAGTCCCCTGGCAAAGACAAAGAAACGGAAATTCCAGCAGACACTTCTGATTGCTGCTTTTTTCATCCCTCTGAAAAAATGTTTCTGTTTGAAGACCTGCTCATGATAGTGCACAGGCTTGGGTCTTTACAGAGGGCTGGAGGGAGATGGCCAAGGCCCAGATGCAAGCTCCCTGGAGGAAACAAGAGGTTTGAAGAGTGGACTCTATTTTCAGGGCCCTTAGAACATGGCAGCAGCACAGGGGTGGTCTTGCTGAGAGACTCACAGCAGTTGGCAACCTTTTGTGGAGGGGGACCTCTCCGGGAAGCTGAGCAATCTGACCAGAAGTCACTCTGAAAGGTGACAGACCTCACTGAAGCATTCTTTGAAGACACGAGGTGAACAGACATCCAGAGAGGCGGTGTGCAGTCACTCCAACTGGGATCCAACTCCAGCTTGGGAGAGCACCCGCAGGCGCTGGATGGCTGGAAGTCCGTGCTTCTGGGAGGCCAGGACTTCAATCTGATTTATTTTATTTTATTTTTTTTAAGATTTATTTATTTATTCATACAGAACTGGGGTACAGGCAGGAGATGCGGAGGGTGAGAGGACTCACCAGGAACAGAGTGGGGAGCAGAACAGGCAGATGGATGAAGTACACTGCTGAGGGGAGCAGCGGGCGGGTCA